GCAGCCGCGCTCGTCGCTGCCGTCGCCGCAGTCGTCGTCGCCATCGCACACGAACACGGCGGCCAGGCACGAGCGGTTGCTGCACTGGAACTCGTGCGGGGCGCACACTGCGCGGGACAGAGAGCCGGTCGGCCCGCCGGACCACATCCCGGCTACCCGGGCCCGCCGGTCTTGCTGCAGGGGCCCTGACCCTCACCTCTGGGCCAGAAGGAGCCCCGCCTGGGGACCGAATGGTGGCCATGTGGTCAGAGACGGCAAAGGGGGCTTCCGTTCCGGGTCCTGCCAGGGTCATGCTGGTGACCTTGGGCAACACCCTGCCGCCCCCCACCCCCAGCCTCCCCAGCCTCACTGGGACTGAGAATTCCTGCCTGCTGCCAGCAGGATGGTGGGACCAGGAGAGTCTCTAAAGCTGCAGAGCAGTGCCTGTCTTGAAGGACTTGGTGATGTTCCTAGGAAAGGTAACATGGCACTGACCCTTCCAGGGAACAAGGTGTGGGGCTGTTTCCATACAGCACAGCTCAGGGCCCACCTCGCCCCCAGCACTAGCCCATCTGAGTGCCGGGGCCTGCCATCCAAGGCCACTGGCCTGGAGCCACTGCTCTGCTCCATCACCTCACACACCCTGGCTTCAGCAACACTAGACCATCTGCACATGTTCCCACCTCTGGGCCTTTGCCCAAGCTGTTCTCTGCTGGGTACCCACCTCGCGCCCACCATCTCTACATTCCACAGTGATGAGTTCTCCTTCTTCAAGGACCCAAATTCCACCTCTTTCATAAAACGCTTTGTGCTCCTCTGCTTGGGAGGTCTCCCTCCACCTCTGCTCTCCTTTCAGGTGCCCTTCACAGGCTGCTCAGGTGTCTGGGTCTCATGTCCTTCTTCATCTGCCCCCCCATCACAAGCTGCCTGGGGACCAACTGCGAGACTGACCCACCTTGCCCTGAGGGCCTGGCACAGAGCTCCCTGCAGTGGGTGGATGTGAAGTGGATGGATGCTGGACCAGCTCGGTGTGAGGAGTAAGTAAGGGACGTTCAGCAGTTAAGGGCACAGATCACTGGCCCTGCCTGCGGCCCTGGGCTTCCCCTCTCTGGTGGACTGCTCTGAGCTCAGAGGTTAGGAGGGCCTTAGAGACCACCAGACCAACTGCCAATTTACACATGGGGAAACCGAGGCCCAGAGAGGGGAGCAGCTTGCCCAGGGTCACACAGTCAGTCCACGGTGACGAAGGAACCAGATCCCAGGTTTGCGGCTCTTCCTTCCTACTCTGACTCCTCTCGGCCTTCTGGTTTTCTCCTCCCTTCCTAGAATTAAGTTGTTTTCAGATCAGTGACCTCCATGCCTCCTTCCCTCCTTCCTGTCCTCAGACAGCCCAAGAAGAGGTCTGAGGGCCCATGTGGGGTGCGGATGTAGTGGCTGTGGCCACAGGTAACATGGTGGTGGCAGCACCAGATCTCTCCACATGGGGGCGCCCAGAGTCCGTATTTTTATTTTCTGACAGAAAAATGTCCTTTTTTCATTGTTATTGAACATAAAATAGAATGATGTCTTCAGTTTCACAATGTAGGCAGCTCTTGTCAGGTGTTGCTGACAGCTCTATCAAGTTTCTGACAGATGCATTTTTCCCCCTTCTGGGCTTTCGGGATGTTGGGATGGTGGGAAAAGCACACACTACCCTGTGATGTCTGCCTCTGAAGATTATTCTGATGCCTAGATTAGCTCTCCTCCTTCCTGTCCAGACTCAGCTTGTACACGTCCGGGGAGGGAGGACTCACTGTGTTCAGAGTTCTGGGAGGAAGTGCTTCTTTATACTGAATTCTCCCTGAGGTTTTGAAGCTGACAGCAATTTTGAGATCTATATTCTCCAGCCTACACCCAGACACCCCACTCGCAGCATTCACAAATGGAAGAAGATCTGAGGGATGAGAGAAGGGAAAATTCCTTTTCCTTTGCCCAAGTGGTTGGCAGCTGTAGCAGAGAAGCCCAGTAAGACCTTCTAACACCCGTCTCCTATAGTTAACAGGGAACATTCCTGCCACAACATGCCCTAGTCAGGGCTGTTCCCATCCCCTGCCCTAGTGGCTGAGGACCCTTATGACTGAGGAAACATCTGATTATGGGGGGTGAGGAGGGAAGAGGATTCTCATTGATCACTGAGGCCCCACAAAATTATCACAGCTGAAGGAACAAGCCAGTGCCGTCACTGGGGCTTTGAAACTGCTGGACCCAGCCAGGATCTCCTGCATACCCAGATGCTTCCTGCTTCAGACACATCCAAACTCCAGACTTAGAATCAGAGTGCTGTGACTCAGAAGCTTCCAGAGATGGCATTTCCCCTGGGCCAGGAAGGATGGATAGGATGCAAATACAAAGGCTGGTGGAGGGAGTGGGCTGGGGCGGGCAAGTGCCTGGCAGAAGTGACCGCCCAGATCACAGCCTAGTTATAGACAGCCAGTCTGTCTCCCCCATTTATCGTGAGCTCCCAGAGGGAGGACTGTGTAGGATTCACCTCATCGTCCCTTCCAGAGCCTGGCTCCAGGCCTGGCACACAGTAGGTGCCCATCAAATTGAAACAAGCACAGCCCCACTGGCCCACAACCTGCTGGCCTGCTCCCTGGGAAGGAGATAAGCCTGTGTTTGAGGCTCAGTGATGTGGAACAGTCCCAGTGACCACTTCCATCTGTCACTGCCGAGGTTGCTGGGAATGTCTTCCCCGCCCTGTGACATTTGTGCTCAAATCTGAGATTTCAGCAACAGTCGTCCTTCACACCTCAGGAATCTGTCTCCCTCCCCCCGACACTTCCAGTGCCTTGGCCCAGGCCACCACCAGTTCTCGCCACGGCCCCCACCCTGGTCTCCCTGCCCTTGCTCAGAGATCGGTAGAGACTTATGGAATGGATGAGCAGATGTCAGCATGGTAAGAACTCATGGGGGCTTTGCTGTCCAGACCTGAGTTTGAATCTCAGTCCCATCACTCAGCTTTGGGTCCTTTTCCTCATCTGTCTGAGCCTCAGTTTCCTCACTCATAAAATGCAGATGATAACGGCTGCTGATGAGGTGATTGTGAGGATGAAGGAAGAAAATGTCTGCAAAGTGCCTGGCCATTACTAGTGTTCTGATCAGTACCCTTTCCTCTCTACCCCCCACGCCCCCTGGAGAGCCAGGACCCTCCCAGAAGCAGCCGCTGCTCCCTGAGCTGCCTCACCACGCTTGGCAGACCCTGAGGATGAGACCCTGGACTCACAGGTGGCACAGCCGGCCTCGTCTGCTCCACTCTCGCAGTCCTTCTCCCCATCACAGCGCCACGAGGCGGGCACACACTTGTGGCTGGTGGGTCCACAGCTCAGCTTCTCTGCGGGACACACCTGCTTGGCTGTGGAGACAGATACACGCGCATGTCTTAGTCAAGGGGGACACAGGATATGGTGCCAACCAGTCCTACTGCCCGGCCCCAGCCACCTGGCCTGAGGCCCTGGGAATCCATCAGGGCCTTCCTACCCCATGTCTCAGTTTCTTCATCTGAGAAGAAGCCCCTGTTTGCCCCTAAGACTTTGCAAATCCTACATGGGACCCCACCACTGCCCTGCCTAACACCCTTTCATGGCCCCCTGGTCCCTGGCACGCAAGACCCTCCTTGATCCGACCAACCCCTGCCTGCCTCACCGGCCCCACCTCCCCCCTCCAACCCTCCCTTTAAGCTCCAGCAACATGGAGCCACTGTACCCCGCATTCTTCTCTGCCATTTCCCAGCTGTATGCCCTTGAGCGAGATATGCCCCATTGGGCCTCTTTTTGCCTTCCAGATCAATGACTCCATGATCTGAACCTGTAGATTTGAAGGGCTCACCAAGGCCCCAATGACTCCCCTGGTATGACCCACCCCACTCCAAGCCTTCACCCCCGGCGATGATGCTGAGCCCGCTGCTGAGCGCAGTCGCCGCATGGCAGGGCCCGGCGGGACCACACAGCTATAATTACTGCAGCTGCAATCAGAGTCTGACTCAATCAGGGGCCCGAAGCCCCAGGCTTGATTCTCAATTTGGAAGAAAGAATGAGAACCCTGATCAGCGCTGGGGATGGCTCTCATCCTGAGCGTCCCAGGATGACCCATGTGACAGACTCTGCCGAGGCAGATGCATCTCAGACCTGCACGGCTGGCTCCCTGCTGCCTTTCAGGGAGTACAGGAGGCCTGAACTCAGTGGTCTCTAGGATGTGCCAGGCCCAGTGCTAGATGCTTCCATTTAATCTTCACAATAACCCACCAGGGTGAGGATTATGACGTGGCCTCCAGCACAGAGGTCGAGGGCACGGGCTCTGGAGCCTGGCAGCCTGGGTTCAAATCCTAGCTCCATCACTCAGTGCCTATCTACCCCGGTCAACAGTCCTTATCTCTATGCCAGTACTATTCCCTGTCTCATGGGATTGTTATGATGACTAAGTTAACGTCCATAAAGCACTCAGAGAAGGCCCAGCCCAGTGCTCATTAGTGATACCTACTATTATTCTCCACATTAACAGATGAGGACTTGTTTATTCCCTCATTGAGCACCTACTGAGCACTGCTGTGCTACACGGTGGTAGCCCCGGGTCTGAGTCACACTGCTGGTAAAGAACGAGTGAGGGTTCTAAGTCAGCCATGACCAATGCCAGAGACTGGGCACAGTCTGCTGCACCCCGGAGGCAGTGGGTTTCGGTGCCTTACCCTCAATTTTTCTCTCTGACCTCAGACCAGTTTCCCCTCCTCTTACTTCCATGGCTGGGATGAGAGGCCACAAGAGATAAAGAAAAGGGCACAGACAAGATGGGGTGGGGGGCAGGTGTCTGAGTCAAGGCCCCTGACACTACTATGCCATGGGAGAGGAATACCTCAGACGCCCAAGTGTGAACCCCAAAGTTATCCCTAGGAATCCACTTCATGAAATATGAGGCAACCCATTGAGAGTATAGGATACACGGATCCATTTTACAGAAATTTCCCTTTACAAGTAACTCAGGTGGAGCCCTGGAAAGCGCTGACACGCAAAGGCCTTTTACAGATGCCGCCTTGGGCCTGTAGTGCAGGGTGGCGAAGGGGCCTGGGAGTTGGGAGTGGGGCCCTTCCAGAGCACCACTGGCACCAACACTCTGCGGGACCTCAGTAAGCACTGCCCCTCCTGGGCCACCAGAAGACGAGGGAGCTGAAGCCACCCGTGTTTCCCAGAGTCCTGACTAAGGTGGGGAGGGGCTGTTAGAAGTGCAGGTTCCTGGGCCCCAGCTCTTACTAGACAGAATCCAGACTTCAAGGAGAGAGCCCAGGAATCTGCATTTTAGAACTCGCCACCTGTCCTCCCCGCCAACCCCACCACGATTCCCATGCACCCATTTGAAAACCCCTGGGTTATTATTCTGCAAGTTCAAAAGATATAGGATATTTCATCTCTTTTAAACTCACTCGCAGAAAAGTGATAGAAGCATTCTGTATGTTTGTGAGCCCTGAGAGAGCAATGGGATGGAGGGACAAGGCGACCATATATCCCAGAGCCAGGTCTCAGGAAAGAGAACCTCACAGAGGAGTTGAAAGGAAGCTCATATTTACTGAGCACCTACTGTGTCAGGCTGCACTGTGCTGATGATTTGATATTTTCCCCTTTCACACTTATCCTCACCCTGCCAGGTAAGCAAGCCCTGCAGGCTGTGAGTGCAAACTCCAGGGGCACCATTCACAAAGATCCTCATGTCAGCGGCGCCCCTGGAATGGAGCAGGGCAGCGGCCTTGCAGATAAGCATTCCATTTTACAGATGAGGAAACTGAGGCTCAGAGAGACCAAGTAACTGGCCCAGGGATGCACAGCAGTGAGAGGCAGAGTCCAGGTTCCTCTGATTAGAGCCCTGCCCTTTCCCTCAAACCCCACATGTTCCTGTGGGTAGAGAAGTGGCCCAGAACCAGCCCCAAACTCTCCGCCCAAAGCCCAGGCGACTGAAATGGGCTTGACCGGCTGCACCACCTCTGGAGGCCTGGTTCTGCAGACCCGAGTGCAGCAGGCAGCTGCTTGAACTTTTAATGAATATTTATACAGTTAATTGCATAACCTTTCAGCAAGGACAATGATTAAACAATCCGTCTGTTTCCTTTCTTTATAATTAATAAGACATTTGCTGTGTCCCTAAATAGACAGCTCTAATGACAGGCTCTCAAGGATTCAGCAGTGCCTGACACCAGCCCTCCTACCCTCAAAGAACCAAGGTACCGTCTTGAAATGCGAGGACACAAGAGGCCTTGGAGGTGACATTGAGGAGCATCCACTGGAGTGACAGGAGACAGAGGCCCAGAGAGGGGAAGAGACCTGCCTAGGTTACTGGATGCCAGTCGTCCAACTGCCTGTCTCTCCTGGAACCTCACTGTCTATGTTGGGACACAGCTCTTCGCAAAGCCAGGATGTGAACCTCACTCTCCGGGCTCCTGGGTCAGGCCTCTCCTTGCCTAGCCCTGGGAAGCTGGTCTGGGCAAGTGTTGATGTGCAGTATCTCCTGATGAGGTGGGTACTATTATTATCTCCATTTTACGGATGAGAGAGCAAAGCCCAGAGAGGGTAAGTTGTTTGCCCAAAGTCCGTGGTGAGGGGCAGAGCTGGATTTCCATCCCAGGTCTCTCTGAATTCCAAATGCACTGCTTAACTTATTGCACTTAACCACTGCACATGAGAGGGAGGAGGCTCACCAGGCCTTGGCTCAGGCCAGGTCTGCAAGATGGCAGATGGCCGTCTGATATCCACTTTCAGGATAACTGAAGCCAGAGGCCCCCCAGTAGCACAATGCAGGAGACAAGAGTGTGGATTCTGGAGCTGGACAGACCTGGGTCCAATCTCATTTACTTACACAAAGGTCCTTTGGCAAGTCACATAACCTCTTTGCACCTTGGCTCCCCTCATCTGAAAACAGGGTTACATAATCTCTTAGAGTTGGTGGGTGGTTTAAAAGAGGAAACATATGGAAATCCCTACACTCAGAGCCTGGAACAAATTCTTGTTTGCCCTTGTTTTATTTTATGAAATGCGGAAGCAAAGGGCTGGAAGACCCTGGTCTCATCCCTGGGGATGCACATTTCAGAGTCCGCAGGGCCTACTACGATGCAGCCCCCACCATGGAATGCCTCTCTCTCTCTCCCTGGGAGACAGATGCCCCAAGGGGTGCCTTTGGCCTGCTGTCCAAGTGTCCCTAGGTTTTGAGAGGCAGGAGGGAATAACCCACTATCTCTCAGACATCAGGAATCCTCCAAAGTCAGCAAGGGCCTAAAAGTGCATCTGGAGTGGCTGTAGGCATTTATAAATTCCCAGAGGATCCTGCCCCAGAAATCCAGATCCACTGGTACTTTCTCTAATTCATAAGTTCACAAATTAATAAAAGAGAAATGTCTGTTGAATAAAAGAATGAAAGTATTTGACAGCTGCTTAGAGTGGGTGCATCTGCAGTGTCAGGCCACGTGAGGCTTAGGGCCAGACAACCTCCAAATGAGGACCCCAGCTCCAAAGGGCCAGAGACTCAAGCAGTGGGCACTCCCATTGTCCAGCTCCTGCTCCAGACAGCACGGCCTAGGACCACCGCACGTGCAGAGGGGGCGGTTACACCAAGCTCCTTCACACAGGCAAAGCATTTGCAGCTGAGTCAGCCCCTACTCGCTGGGTGAGCCCAGAAAATCTCTGGGCTTCCACTTCCTGATCTGTAATAGGGAGGTACACTTGGTTAATCCATGAGGTCCCCCTTCCAGGTGGATAGTTCTAAGCTGCATGAATAAAACCCCATTTTCAATAAGCAGCACCCAGAATTGTAAGTCATTCACCTTGAACCAACCTCCACCCCACCCCGCACCCCTCCCAACAGACGCCTGAAGTTGGGTCAGAAGCCGTCCCCAATCAAGTGAGCTACAATTAGAGCTGAAATGTTGTTGCTTCATTAGGCAAATGTCCTGGGATTTCCTACGGTGACTCTTGGCTGTATTTGATAGACAGAATCCAGAACCAGAAGGAAAGAGAGCTGGGAGAAATCCCAGCCAGCTAGGGGCAGACGACATAGTGAGGGAACACAAGAATGGGGACCTGCTCCCAAATCCCTCTCCCTCTCGATGCAAACCCCTCTCACTTACACTATTCTAAGATTTTAAATTGGTGTATGTGGGGAAGAGGGCCTGGAGTCAAAATCTAGTAATAAAAATAACACTGCACTGACACTTGGCTTGCATTTATTTTATCTGACCCTCACAATCCTGTAAGGCAGGTACCATTACCCCATTTTACAGATGAATAAACTGAGGCTCAGGGAGGTTGAGCAACTTGCCTGAGGTCTCACAGGTTAGAGGACCTGAGCCCAAATATATCCGACACCAAAACCACTACACTTTACTACTGCCTATAATCTTTGAGGGTGGGGAGGGGGCTCTGTCCTGGGAGCTGGCACAGTCCCCAGGAACCTGGTAGGCTGCGGAGGTTGCTATGGCTACGCCAATTAAATAGGCAACAGGTTGGCTGCCGGGTTCCCATTTGGTCGGGAAGCTGTGAGCAGCCTGCTACCAGGTCTTGCTGCCCCAAATTCTGCCTGACCGTCCAGGTCCCACTCTGGCCCACCTCATCCAGGCAGCCCTCCCCACCCACAGGCCTTGCCCACCTATGACCAATGTAACTCTGCACAGGAAGTGGGATCTGGGTCCTGGGCCCCAGCTGGGCACAGACAAGGGAGAAAGAGGGTCTCAGAACCCTAAGAGTCCAAGAATCTTAGAATCATAGTCTTTGGAATTCTGGAATGTTAGAAACAGGGGCCCAGAGGTGGGGGTAAAGTATGCAGGACCTCATAGAGAATCACTGGGAGAGCCCAGAGAGCTAAGTCTTGGCTGCTGCTTCCACGGGGCGCTCTGTCAAGCCTCAGAGAGCCTGAGAAGCCTGTGTGTTTTCATAGAAGGCAGACGAGCCATGAACAACTTGTGTGTCTTGAAACCAAGGCCCTCAACTTCTCTGTGCCTCCAGTTACTCAGCTGTCAAAGAACCTTGCCTTACAGCTGGGCACAAAGTGGGCCTGGGAGGCAGGAGGGGTGAGGCCAGAGGGCCCCTGCACAGCCCGGAGGATAGGAAGGCAGCAAGTGCTGGGATGGGCAAGAGGGGGAAAGACAGAGGGAGACACGGGACAGGGCAGGGAGAGAGACAGCAAGAGGGAGGATGAGGACAGGGGCAGGCAGGGAGGGGAGGGAGCCCAAGAGAGCAGGTGGGCAGGACCCCAGGGGGCAGGAGGAGGATGAAAAGGGACAGCAACGCACAGAGACACACATGGGGAGAAGGGGGCACAGCTCTCAGGCAGCAGGACAGACCTCAATAACAATCATAATGAGGCTTCCCCTCCCCTTCTGCCCCCAGTGTCCAGGGTCACTGCTGGGGGAGCCAAGCTGGCTGATTGCAATGGTGGAAAAGCCCCCCACTGCCACCGCCCCCATCCCCACACACACACTCCAGGCTGCACATGACTCTGCCCCTTGTTAGCTGGGCAGCCCTGGGCCTCAGTTTCCTTCCCTCTAAACAGGGATCCACCCCCTCCCAAGGTTGCCCAAGGATGAGAGTCACGAGTGGGCATGGCTGGGCTTTGTGCCTTCCGAAGCTCAGGACGATCAGGACGAACAAAGCGCTGGGCTGCCCCCTGCCCAGGCACCTCCAGGCCAGCACCGGGTGTGGCTCCTTGGTGGGGGAAGGAAAGGGTAGGGCCTGCGGCACGACAGGACATAACATGACCCATGCCACAACATGACCGGGGAGGTGGGGGCAGCTGCGCAGGGAAACGAGGAGCCCTGTGTCGGGCGGGGGGTGCTCCTGTTCTCCCTTCTCTCTCCCGCGGAGACTGGTAGCTCTGTTGCTAGGAGACAAGGAAACCCAGTTATCACCAGCCACAGCCCTACATGAGATGCTGGCCTCCATCATCCCCGCCTCTGCCTCAGGGGTGACTGTGACCCCTAACAAGGACCCGGGTGCGGTCCTCACAAGCCCCCCATCCTCCACGTGCTCCCCCCAGCCTTTTGTCTCAGGCTCACTCTGCCTCCAGGATGCTGGGTCCTTCCCCGCCCCCCTCTCATCTCCTTTTTAATTTAACAAATGTCACGGAATGACCTGCCGGGTGTAAGTTTGCTTTGAGGATTAGGGCCTGGAAAAGAAATCAGAGAGAGACAAAGCCCTGAGTGTGGGAGGCGGGCCTGGGGCTCGGCTCTGGCCCTCCGCCTCACCTCTGGCTGCCGTGGCTGCCACCCTCCTGCCATGGAGGCCGGGGCTCCTGGGCTCAGCTGCCAGGGCAGAGGAAAGAGCTGGGGCCTCAGAGTCCTGGCTGGGTAGCTTGGGCAAGTCACTTAACCTCTCTGAGCCTCAGTGTCCTCCTCTGCAAAATTCAGGAAGTGACAGTACCTGTCTCATGAGGCTGCTGTGAAGACAAGATGAATTAATGCATAAAAGAGCTTAGCACAGTGCCTGGCACACAGTAAATGCTTAACGAGCACCAGCTAGTAGAATAATGATTCAGGTCCTCGAGAAAAAAAGTGGGGGAGGCTAAGGGGAGGCCGGGAGGATGTGCTATGGCTATGTCTGGGCAGAAGGGCTACTTCTAGCTGGTCCTACAGGAGCGGCGCCCAACCTGCAGAAGGCCTGTGAAGAAAGCCCAGAAACAGGGCACTAGCCACAGCACCTAGATCCCCCTGAATGTCTGTCGGGAGCCCCCGAGGGCGTGGCACAAAGTGAGCTGTTTGACAGGTCACCTCCCTTGAGCCTCTCAACCTCCCAACAAAGATCTGATGAGAAAACTGAGGCCCAGAAGGAGGCCCCCCTCCCCCAGCCCAAGGGGCAGGACTCACTGCAAGTGGCCTCGGACTCATCGGAACCATCGGGACACTCCTCCTCGCCATCACACTTCCACCGCTCGGGGATGCAGTGGCCGTTGTCACAGGTGAAGTCGCTGTCCGCACAGGTCTTCTTGGCTGCAGGGCAAGGAGAAGAGCGTGAGGGGCCTGGTGGGCACAGCTTTTCTAGGACACGCAGTCAGGTGGCTACGGGGCGACCAGAATGTGCTCGGTTTGAAAGCTGGACCACATGACCTCCCACAGCCCCACCAGGACATGGAGCGCCTCTCCAGCCAGAAGGAAAGCACAGGAGAGAAAGGCTTATTCATTCCACCTGGAGACAAGCGACACCTGGCCCTGCCCTCCAAGTCCAGGAGTTCAAGTCCAACAAGAGTGACAGGATCCATCCACCAAGGGAACGCCTGTTACCCTGTCACACCCTTCTCTTTCCCCAAAGTCCAGTCCAACTGCCACCTCCTCCAGGAAGCCTTCCCTGATCACCCGTGGCAGCTGCTTTAGCCCCTTCAGCCGGTTCTTAGGCCCTTTACGCGCCTGTCCTACTCTTCCCAACCAGAACGAAGTCGAGGCCCCTTCTGCAAGCACCAGGGAGCTTCTGATAGTGAATCCTGAAGGCAAACAGTTATTTTGTGGCAAGATTAATAAGGTATATTCTGTTCACAGTGGTAGAAAGAGCATCTACTGGGCAAGACACTCCATCTGTCTCTGCCCCCAAGGCGCTCAATGCCTGGAGGGGGAGGCCCCACACGGGGGCTTGAATCTCAGTTCTGCCCCTCTCTATCTAGGTGACCTTGGGGATGTTACTTAACCTCTGAGCCTCTGTTTTCTTATCTATATAATGGGGAGAAGAAAACAAAAAGCTCTGACGAGGAGTAACAAGAAGTTATAATGTATGAGGAACATGCAACAGAGATCCTGGCACATGGCAGATGCTAGGTGAGGAGCAGCTATTACTGTTTGTATGGTTTAAGTCTTAATTAGAAGCAAAGAAAATGGGGTGTCTGTGCCCTCACAGGGGACGTGGGTAGCAGGCTGAGATCTCACAGCTGGAAGCTGACCTGGGACAAGAACACAGGACCGGCAAGGTTTGCTCCCTCCCTGTCCCTCCACTGGCCTGAGGCTCCTCTGGTGCAGGGCCTGTGTGAGATCCAGCACAGGACCCAGCTCAGGGGAGAGCGCAGTAGGGGCCCTGCACCCTGGCATCCTGGCTGTCCAGCCTCTGCTCCCACACCTCCAGGGCCGGTGCTCACCTTCACTCACCCCAGGAAGTTCCTTCCCAGCGGCCAGGCCAGCCGTGGCTGTGTAAATCCTCCCACGGGCCCTCTGGCTGCCTCTGGGGACACGTGACTGCTCCCCCTGCCCTAAGCAGCCTGACAGGGGTTTGGGGACAGACACTGTGTCTCCTGAATCCGTTCCATTTCTCCCTTGCTTTTCAATGGAATTCTTGCAGTACATCTGTGTTCTAAGATGAGTTTTCTTCACACTTTCCTTAGAAGAACACCTCTGTCTGTGCAGGGCTAGAAGAAACCAGAGGAATCCGAGTCCACCTGCAGATGGGGGCCCTGAGGCCCAGAGAGGGAAAGGGTCTGGTGTAGGGAAACATAGCAAGGCAGGGACCAGAACCCTGAGCAGCCCTCCCTGAGCCCTGCACTGAGGGATCGTTGTGGGAAACAGACACCAATACCGCCTTTCAGTAAATCACAGCCCATAATCATCCTAACATAAGTACAGTTATGAACCAGCCACAGCACCTGGGGCATTTCCTAACGAGCACCAGAGTGTTCCCTCCACAAGACGCTCGGCATCCAAAAAGAGGCGTATATCCCAGTGTTTTCTTTTTCCTGCTCTAATGTTCTCTGAGTGCATCCTGTGTGCCAGGCTCTGGGCTGGGTACGTTACTCAGGAAACCCCACGACAAAGGGCCTGTTACGTCTCCACTTGACACACGAGGAAATCCAGGCCCAGGGGCGTTAAGCTACATGCCCATGGTCACATCTGGGTGGGAGCAGGGCCACAATTTGACCTCACATCAGACGCCCCTCTTCCCCACCCATGGCTCCTCAAACAAAACGCCCAGCGGCATCGGATGTAGAAGAAAAGTCCCAGAGTAGGTGGGAAAGTCCCATGGAAGCTTCAGTCTGGCATTCAAAGAGCCTGCATCTGTGCCCTGAGCACACAGGGGAGAACTCAGCCCACCCTGCCCCCTGGAGCTCAGCATGAGTGCACAACTGGGTGGACCCCAGAAGAGCAAGGCAGGCTTGATGAAGAAGGCGATGAAGGGGCTCCCTCGCTGGGCCTGGGCCACCACCCGCTCTCCAGGGATCTGTCCTCCCTGGCGTTCTGGGAGCCTGGGAGGGAGCTTGGCCTCCCACCGTGTGCCAAGCCCTGGTAGGCACCGGGCAAGGGGGCGAGAGCAGCCAAAAGCATCATCACAGTCCTGAAGGGCAGCCTCAAAGCCAGCCGGGCCCAGGAAATGGCGGCCTCAGGGATGGAGGTCCCATGGTGGTGTTCTGGGGAACAGGTTTGTTTCCTGTCATGGCCAGTTAGGACATTTTCCACCCTGGCTCTGCCCTGGCACCTTTTACCCAACATCCCAATGACTCCTCACAGCTCTCCTGGCAGTAGTTGTTAATCCTATTTTACAGAAGAAGAAACTGAGGCTCAAAGAGGTGAGGGTGGCAGGTGGCAGAAGTGGGATTTCAATTCCATGCAGCAGCTGCCAAAGCTTGGGCTCTTTAGTCTACTAAGGCCCTCGGTCACCTCAGCATTACCAGGCTAAGACTGAGGACCCCCATGGAGGTCCTCAGTGTGACCAGGTCCCAGGGGCCACAGGACAAGGCAGGGGGGCAGATCAGCCACAGCTCAGAGGTGCCTGCGTGAGGTGTCGCCTGGAATGTGCCCAGAAGGGTGCAGCAGAATAAACCTGGGCTTATGACAACTTGTGCTCTGCTAATGGACTGCCCTAGGGAAACTGAGGCAGCATGGTCCCTTTCAGGTTGAGGACTAGACTAAACCACCTTGGTGGGCCCTGTCTGAAGGGTAACCATGTGGAAGGATTTGGAGTCAGGGCTGAGACCGAATCCTGGCACAGCCACCTTCTCTCTGGGTGACCTTGGGCAAGTTCCGTCCCTCTCTGGGCAAGTGGGGATGGTGACTCTCCCACGCAGCACTGCCATAAGGACAGAAGGCAGAAAGGCTCTCCTGAGGGATCTGAGCAAGCATTGCAGTGTCGGGTTGTTAGTGTAAGGAGCCCGGCAGCCCTCGTCAAGAGGCTACATCAGCTCTGCCAAGAGAGGAGGGCTGGGCCGTGCTTCGAGGCTGTCAGAGCAAGCCGTGCCAGACCCCCACCTCCTGGCCTCGGGAGCCTTGGCTCCCGCTCCCAGGTGATTCCCCAGCTGGGCTCGAGGCTGTGGCTCCCTGTTGCCAGGGATTTATGTCCCTCCATGCCAGTCGCCCCTTGGACAATGCCCACCTCTGTGAGTCCCTGTACTCCACAGCCCAGGAGCAGTACATAGTCATCCAGGGTCTGCGACATCATAATCTGGTGCCATGGCAACAGATGGGCTGCTACAAAGGACTTGGGATTCCAGAGGGCAGTGGGGAGGGGCCAACCCCGGGGCAGAGTGGGAGAATGGGAAATCCAGGACAAAGGAAGAGGGAGCTGCTATTTGTAACAAGAACGCAGGCTGAGGACAGCGTCAGACAGTCTGTGGCAGATTGAACTCTGCTCTGCCACTTGTGGCTGTGTGACCTTTTGCAAGTTGTACAACTTCTCTGAGCCTCACCTTCTTCATCTGCATTCGGGGATAATGTCCCTGCTTCTCCACACAGGGTTGTTGTGAGGCGCAAATGGGCTAAGGATGGCGCCAAGACTTTATTAACTGAAAACCATGAAGGTGCAAGTTTGAGGCACGCAGCCATCGGCCCCAGCTGCTGTGTGTGTGACACTGGGCCCAGCAGACACACTGGGCCTGCCTCCTCATCTGGAAACGGAGGCGTGGTGCTGACTGACTCTTAAGCCCCTCTCCGCATCCAGTCTATGATCTTGTGAAATTATGATGATCACTCAGCACCTCCCAGCTTCCCCACCCCCAGAGGCGTCCTTCCCTGAGACAATATGCATCCTTCACACTATTGCTTCCACCCACCCTCATCCGCAGCCCCAGTGCAGACAGGGGGCTTCAGAACAAAGATGAGTCAGGGCTGCCAGGAGGAGCTGCTCATGTGGCTCCCTCTTAGCAGTCACATCATGTTGGAGCCCGGGGTCTTGAAGGCCCTATACAGCTCTCCCAGTCTATAAGCCGGAAAACCAGGGCGCAGAGAGAATTGGCTGCTCAAAGTGTGTGCGACGTGTCTGTGCGATGGCTGCACCTGAATCCAGGGATCCTGACTCCCGGTCCCACTGTGTGGCCAGGAAGCAGGGGAGGGCCACCTGACCCAGCCCAGGGGTCAGGGAAGGCTTCCTGGAGGAGGGGACCATGTTCAGGGAAGAGGAGTCAGCCAAGCAGTGGGAGTGAGGAGAGCGATGAAGGGCATTCCAGGGACAGGGATAACAGGGCCTGGGATATGACGTACAATGGCCATTCAGGGCCGGGGTGGAGGCAAGTGGCAAGGGACCTGGGAGCTCCACTAGGCCAGGGGCCAACTCGCCCCCCCTGGCACCACGCTGCCCCTCAGAGGCCCAGTGCAGGGGCCAGGCTTTCCCTGAGCTCACCCAGCCTCTGCTAAGCTCAGGGCTGCTGTTTAGCTGCTGGGGCTTCCTTCAGGATTTGGTGAGGCCGTGCTACACGGACCATCAGCCCCGAGCTGAGGAAGAGAGGGGCAGAGGGCAGGACGGAAAGCGACGGGCCATCCACCTAGACGTTTGGGATAAGACATTATTTTCCCCCTTGGAGAGTCATGATGCCCACTGCCTTACTAAAGGCCCTGAGAAGGCCTGCAGTGAAGACATCAGACTGACTGTTTCCTCCAGCACTTCCCAAACTCGTTTAGCCGAGGATCTCCTATTTTGGATGCCGTGTCTGTTAATTTCCCAAGAAACAAGTGGTCCAATGAATCATACCCAAGGAGACACTGCTGTAGTGCAAGCCCCTCATCCTCAGATAAGAAGATGAGACTCA